TGCCAGAGTAATCATAGCTGTAGCCTCTGTGAACTGAAGTAGCCAGGGTTTGATCTGGACTTGAAACGGACCCAGGTTAATGGCAGAGCTCGTTGGAGGCTTACGCAGCCCCGAGCTGCTCGTGAAACTCCGTGGACGTGATTGCCAAGCTGGCCAGTGCCCAAATACCCCTGTAATTATAGTCACACCCTCCTCCCCTGTCCCTGGGCCAGATTGGACCCCTGTCAGCGTTTGTTTTTTGGTTTGGTCCTGGCCTGTTCATACTGCTTTAATACACTGGCTTTTCACCCACACGCTCGCTGTGGACGGCTCAGTTCTGGCTTTCAGCTGGCTGAATGACAGCTTTTCTGCATTCTGGCTGTCTGCTGACTAATGACGGACCACTTGCTGGCCTCAGCTGAGCAGCAGGGCTGCACGGTGGGAAAAACTAAACTTGTCAACACAGTTCCAACACTCAGGATCATTCGAAATCGTCGAAGTACCTTGAGAAACATCATGATGGGATTTCTTGTCATTTTAGGGAGATTTTGCGTGACTCTTAATTTTTGCCACAAAAAGTAGTTTAAAGTATGTCATCAGTTGCCAATACCATTTACCTAAACAAATGTAATGTGTGCATGTGTTAATAGCATTAACTAGCTTGTTACAGGCATTGGTGTACAACACATTTGTTTATAGGATGTTGTTACTAAACATTTATAAAACCAACATACGCAGAAATAACATCTGGCTAGACCAGTAGGGTCCAAGCCTGGTCCTCGAGGGCAAAGGTCAGAAAGCTGATTTATTATCTGCAAAGTGAAAGCAGAGAAACATCTCAAACTTGCAGGATAACGGCCCTCAAGGATCAGGATTGGGCACCACTGGGCTAGACATTTACCAGTGCATCATTCGAAACAGCACATTTTATAAGGAGTCTTAAGAAGAAGTTTGTAGAGAGAAATGTGGCGACAGGACCGTACTGCTACTTCCCCATTTTCATTGGATCAAAGCAGAACTGGGGCAGCCCCTCACTTGAGAACCAACGCATAAAACACGAGGTCAACAAAATGCATGTAAAAATAGAACTGCCTCTTACTATAGCGCTTTAGGTCACACTTGATCATAATAGACTACCCAGGTGATGATTTACCGTAGCTTGCTTCGATCAAACATTAGAACACTGGCCACACAGAATACCATTAAAACTGAGCTCAAACTAAAACCCACGTTTGTTTCTTTACTCGTGCAGAGCTGTGTTGTTGTATGCACACCACAGTTTTAAACACCGTAGCAGATTCAACTGGCAATGCTTTTTATTATAACGCCCCAGTAAATTTACCCCGAGATGGCTCTGTGTAAATATGACGTTCGTACCAGTTTGTGCTTGTTGCTCCTGTGTTGGGATAGAGCTCCTAACTGGGTTCATTTATGATTCATGTAGCCACAGTGGGAGGTTTTGGATTTTATTCCATGCATGGGAACGATGCTGTTGTCTCTCTGCTGACTCAGCTGTTTATAAGACCGTCGCATACTATTCTCAAGACAAACCCGGAATGCAACCCTTTATTTTTGCTTGTGGAGCCGGAGTTTAAAGGAAAAACGTAACTATGTAAATTCCCTTCTTTCTGACGTTGAAGTCTTTGTTTACATTCTTATGGGTTAACATTTTTCAAGCCTTTGATAATCTTGGATGTGTGTTCACAGAAAGAACAGCAGATTCTGTCTTATACAATCAGGATTATTCATTTGGGGGCAGTAGGAAAAAGCTACGTAACTGAATAACTTAATACGTAATTGTGGTTTGTGTTGATGAGCAATAGCTATTTTTTGTGAACGTTTTTAAAGTGGAGTGACGTGTTAAGCAAAAATGCTTAATTTTTATGTGAACATTTAAATGAACACAGAGGAAATCCAATGAATTGTGATTCAAATGTTTCACAGTATTGATTTATTTATGTATATTTGTTTTAAAAAAAAAAAGTAACACAAACTGTAATTGTAAATGAAAAGTTGAAACTAAGGACGTTTATTTTCTGTTGTTATGAAAGGTGGGAATGCACGCAATTAATTTTGTGTGTGGGGTCAATCGTTCCGTCTGTTGGCAAAATATATCATGAACCGTGTGACGATTTTAATTAAATTCTCTCAGAAAGCGATCAATGGATGTTCAATTCAAGATGGCTTCCACCGCTAAGCTAATCAATCGTAGCAAACACAAAAGTGGTTACAACTCATGTAGGTTTAAAAATATTGGGCTATTGTTTGGTGTGTCAGTAGCTGACACTCGTGCTCAACTCGTACTCCGTGGTGTGATGATTCTTTAAAACTTCAGCATGCAAGATGGCAGGTGATAGGCATTCCTTTGAGGAATGTTTCCCTGTAAACCCAAATTTGTTTTTGTCAGATCACATCTGTATAATGTTGTGAGTAGGGATGCACAATGTTGGATTTTTGGCCAGTATCTGATATGCCGATATGTTAAATTTATTTGTCCGATAACTGATACTGATATTTTTAATAAACTTTCCTTTGTCAGAACATTTCCCTCTTATTTAGGCTTATTTGCTACAAAGGTTTTGTAACAGCTGTAAGAGCTGGTGACAAATATTATTCAGTAACAGCCATATTATATGCATAGCACTTTAACTTCTATTAAATGAAAAGTGTTAAATGTTATTTATTAGCATTAGTCACCTGCGATGCTGTCTCATTGTGGAGGTTTGTTCCAGGTTACTAGCTGCAGTGTGGGATCCTCTGCACTCTTGTGCATGAAGGACAGACTTTTTAGGTTCAAAGTTTTTGTCTATCCATTGTGCCGTAAAACTAATCATGCATCACTTGACGTCCAAATGTCTGTGGTAAAACTCCCCCAAGTGCTATCGGCTATTAACTTCTCGATGATGTCGGAAATGACGGCTTGTAACTCGAGTAAGGTGACGTCGGAAAATTATCTCTGACTGGGGACGATGTAGCGAGACTCAACCAAGTCCAAAAATCTTCAGAATCCGACATCCTCAACCAAAAAAAACTTCCACACCGCCGACATTTTGACTTCTTCCTCTCCGCTGTGATCAGATCAGGTTGTGTGACGTCATCACGTTGTGCTGGCGCTGCAGGCATCCTTGTCACCGGGTTGTCATACAAAAACATAACCTTTAATATGGTGAGTAATTCTGATGGAATGTTCGATGTTTAACTTTAACGCCAATATCGGCTGATACCGATAACATGCCGATAATATCGTGCATCCCTAGTTATGAGTAATGTAGAGTGTTGTCTTTAACCATCCAGTAAAATTAAGCTTTAATTTGTTTTAAATTAATGTTGAATTTATTCAGATTCAGAGAGATTTATTTGTCATTCGCGCCACATGTGGTACATGTAGCGGAACAAGATTATGCACACAGGGTCCCAGTTACATCCAACAACAAAATTTAAAAGAAAAACAGTAATAACATCTAAGTTATGAACTAAGAAAAACATCAACTAAAAATATACTAAGCACTAATAGCATACAAAAATTATGTCAAACAGCAGCACGAACATGAGTCTGTGTGAGCAGATGAGCACGCATGAACACAGCAACATGAAACAGATCAGCAGCAACATGAAACGGATCAGCAGCAGCATGATGTGATTTTTCACAGTGATTATTCTGGTTAAAGATTCATGAGTCTAACAGCCTCAGGGTAGAAGCTGTTCCTCAGTCTAGTGGTTCTACACTTAATGCTCCTCAACCTCCTTCCTGAGGGGAGCAGGGCAAAAAGTGTGTGTGCTGGGTGAGTGGGGTCCTTCATGATGCAGGTGGCTCTTCCTGCATCTGGAGGTGTAGATGTCTGTGACGGTGGGGAGACTGACTCCAACAGACTTCTGTGCAGCCTTATATTATTATTTAATCCAGTTAACTCCAATTAATTTTATCCATTATTTTATCTAGTTAACCTAAAAAAAATTATAAAGACTAATTTGTTGTGTATGTAGAGCAAATTTTTGCTTGAATTTTAAGTTACAATTTAAATAATACCACCTTAGGATATTTTTGGCAATCTTTAGAAGTTTTAATTATTTTTTAAAACATTGTTTTAAAGAAAACCTGTTGATCCCCCCCCCCCCCCCCCCAAATCAACAGGTTTTCTTCTTTCAACTTTAAGCGTTTTAAGTCACAAGTTGGTTGAAAAAAAAAATCTAAGAAGTGGGATGAATAACTGTTTTTGTGATTATGTAGAAACTTTATTGTATAACCTGTAAAGTAAAAAAAAATTATTACCTGTAAAGTTTAAAAAAATGAATGCGCTGTACACAACAACTACGCAGTCGTGTTTGTTCTTAGAGTAAATGTCACACAAAATCTAAAACGTTGTCATTTGAATTCGTGTTGAGTAATGGGGCTCTCCCCGTCATCGAGGTTTCTGCTTAAACATCAGCTTTTCTATTTCTTAATTTAGAATAAAATATTTCTGCTCAAGCAAAGCGTGAGCGTAACAAGGAAGCAGGTAAAGTTCATTCAAAGTACTCGAGAATATGGTCTTATGACTAAAAATGATCATCCTCGTGCCATGATGTTCAGACGTCACTCTATGAGGAGGTTCAGATGGTTGTTACGTTTTCTCCCGGTTGTGGCGGCGCCCACAGCGCACCTTCTGCTGGCTTTGTGTCATGAGCCACATCAGAGAGCTGCTAGGTTTCACCGATGAGTGTCGTAGAGACGGCGTGCAGGGGGACGCTTTCCTGCCAGAGACGGAAGAGTCCCTAAAGCTGTGATTCACGCTGCCTCATGTAGTCGTTTCCTGAGCGTTCTTTCAGGTCATTCTACAGGAGGGTAATGGAAAGTTCAATAAAACTCCCTGATTACTGATCTACTCGCACAAGCTTCGCTCCTCTACGGTTAACTTTGATGCCTTTCAAAGCTCTTTCTCGGGTCTGCCTGTCTGCCGAGATTTCCTCATCTCGGTCATCTGTTCAGACAGTTCTATGGAAAAGTTGAGATCCTTCTCATTGCTGTTGTCTTCTCCTCTCAGGTGCATGATGAGCCGGCTGTGCAGTAGGCGTCTAAGCTAGTCAGGTGCCGCACCATGGCCAAACCTGGGGGCGACCGAGATGGAGCCATGGTGGATAAGCCGGTGGGGAAGAAGGTACGCAAGTTCAACCTCTGCGTTTAATTGCCATCAATTGTTTTTCATAAGGAGGTGATACTTAAAATATTTGCAGTTAAAGCCATACATGTTTTTCTAAGTTCGTAAGTATTTTCAGTTAAAGCAAAATTTTTATTATTTTTTCCTTGTTTTCTCACTGGACATTTTTCAATAAAAGAGATAAAGTTAGACTTTAAGACTGAGAAGGTCTGGACATGACGGGACAGTGAGTATATTGGATGAATGATGTTAGAGATGTAGCTTCCAGGAAAAAGACAAAGAGAAGATGTAGTAGTTGGTAGGAGGAGTGAGGGTAGAGGATACGGAGGACATGGTGAGATGAAGCAGGATGGTGACCCCTGAAGATGGAAAAGACGAAATAAGATCTTTACCAAAAAGTAGCTCCATGTTACGGAACAGAAGTATTTCCATCCATCCATTTTCTTTACCCACTTTTCCATACAAAGCTGCGGGGGAGTTGGTGCCTACTTCCATTGGTCTATCGGCGAGAGGCGGAGATACCTCGGACAGCTCGCGATCATGGAGACAAACAAAGACAGACAACCGTTCACGCTCAACTCTCAGATCTGGTGACGATTTGAGTTACCAAATAATATGCATTTAATTGATAGACGGGGACAGATAAAGCTGCCGATGTCCTAGCAAGACTGGTTGGGAAGGACAGACCAGCGTCGCTGGCTACCAAGTTAGACTCGCGTTCACTTGTTTTGTCAGTCCTTCCTGCTGCAAAAACCTGAACTTCGAACCTTCGGATAAAAAATGAATACAGTATGTACATTTAAAACGACTTGCTACCACTGCCTGCTTCAGGTCCTCCCTCACTACAAAGCCTGAAGTTCACCATGGAGTCCATGTCCTCACTGGAGATCATGACTCCTTCCTAATGCAGGTTAAGACTCTTGAAGTGGTTTACCCGAGTACTGGGGGCCAAGGGAACTCTGTCAAATGTGATCCTCCAAGCAAAATCTTAAGGATCACAGCTCCAAACACTTGTGCCACCTCACACGGTGAGTCATTCGTATAAATAAAATTCAATTTGGAAAAAAAAGAATAAATTTCTTTAAGCCAAATTTCCACTTGGCTCCAAGTAGTTGTGAGCAGGATTCACGAGAGAGAATGTCTCCGAACATTCAAGAGGTTTCTCTGTTGTCACGTGACTCTCAGAAGAGCTGGGATTTTGTACTGGTTCAGGCTCAAAATAGAGTTGTCACTGGTGTCTCAAACTTGTCTAAATGTTGTTGCAGGCATCTCCAAGCTTTCTCAAGAGCGCTAGAGAACGATTTCTGGCAGAAAACTTCCAGGTATAAAACCCACGCCACTGATGAATATTATTACAAAAACTTGATATTGAAGGCGTACCCCAGTGGATTATCATGCGAGGGCGGCTGCCATGAGGAGTTCAGAGTGGACTGAGGCAGGAAACAAAATAATGTGCAAAAGCTGTAATAAAGTTTTGCAAGTCGTACACACACGACCGGGCCATTCAGAACCCGGCTGCTCGGCTTGGTGGTTGCTGGTTTGCAAACACCGTTCAGTGAGACTGCATCTGAATCTTCCAGTTTCCAGTTGTCACAGCCCAGTAAGATGCCACCTTTCATACACCGGTTTATACTTCAATAACTATTTTTTTTTATACAACTCAAAACATACAAGTGCACAATATAATATAAACAAACAAATCAATAACAATTTACAGTTGTGTTGGTAAGATTAAATTATTCAACTATTCTGCTGTAAATGACCTCATGATCTCACAAAGTAACTCACCTGTTAAAGTGGCAACAGGTGTCTGAACAGACAACATTGGTCTAAATGTTACGAGCGACAGCACGTGCGCGCTGCAGTATGGCAGCACTGACGGGAGCGCCGCTTGGACTCGCTCTTTCTTTTGTTCTGTTGTTTTAACTTTTTTTTGTGCCTGCACTGCATCTTCGTTCAGTTCCTGGCTCCCTTCCAGTCTCGGGTTCAGGCTCCGGACTGTCGTGGCAGCCGTCTCCACGATCCTCCATCTCCCTGCACGGACCGAACGCTACAGAACAGTTCGGTTCCACAGGGAAACCTTGGATGTTCTGTGTCTGTCTGGAGGGCAGTCGTCGTCCGTTACTGCAATCGTTATCATCATCATGTTGTTAACAGAACCGTGCTGCTAACAGAACCACTCTGCTCATAGGACCGTGCTGCTGTAGGCTTGGATGCATTTCTTTTTCACTTTTGGTGCCTTGTTTTTGTATTTTTGCTACAAGTTTTGGTATTTCTTTTTTTTTGGTGAGTTGAGACGGTTCTTCTCGTCCTGAGCATTTCATTGCATTGTTGACCTTGTGTTGATCTGCATACGACAAATAAACCAAACCTAATGTTGCTGAGCAGACTTGTGCTTCAACGAAGTTCATTTTAAAACCCCTTAGTGATTTTATAGGGGGCTATTTTTCATTCTTCATCGCACTGTGGAAAACAATAAAACATCCAACACTAAAGATAAACTAGATAGATGCAAGATAGATTTTTAGTTATGTTGTGTTCATTGACCCCCACCTGAACGCTGAGCTGAATTATCTATAAGAATGTTTGAACTCGTTTGCGTCTCCCTTTATCGGGGCAGCAGCTTTTCTCACGCATCTGCACGATTGTTTTTCGAGTACAAAAATGTAGTTTTTGTGTGTAAACACACGTCGCCCACTCATTGGAACAGTAACATCTGGGTGTCGGCAGGGTGCCAGTTCTCTCTTTTAACTCCGTATGAAACGCTTCAAATACACACTTTATGTTCAAATAACGCTGGTTTTAGCTCATTTCATTTAGAAATGCAGATAAATAATCACGGACAGAAACATTCATTAAAGTCCCGTTTTTATATTTGGTGCAGATATTATTTTACTCATAACAGTTTTTTTTTTTGTGTTGCACTTCAGTGTTTTGTCATGAAACAAGTGACACGTTGGCTGTTTAGCGCCTACGACACTACAATGAGTTCTTTTTCACTTTTTTTTTCACCACCAACAGTACTTAGTTATTCTCGTAGATAAAAGGAAGATTGATTCTGTCTTTATTTTAAAGGAAAAGTTCTTCACATATAGCAGCTCTCCTACTTTCAACAGTGCCAGACGTTTCAGCTTCAGCATTTCTTTGCTGAGATCAAAGCGCCACACTGCAGACATTTTCCTTCTGCCAGAAATGTATTTTACTGCACCAAAGTGCAACTCAGTAAAAGTAATGGTACTGAAAAAGCTTTGTCTGCAGATCAGAGTGTAAAATAACATTAAATTGGGGGGGGGGGATTGATAATACATGTATTACTTGTCCAGTTCCTGTGGGTGTTCCGTTACTTCTGCTCTTCTTTATAGAATCAATCAGGGCACCTTATAAATGTTTAAAAAGAAGAAAAACCCTAATTATTGTTTAAAGCCAATATTGATTTAACTTGTTTTTGTGTGTAGCATATTAAACTATATCATGACCCACTGCAAACTCTCTCAGAAAGTAAACCGATGCACATCAGCAAATGATTAATTTTTAGAGTCAACCCCTTAAGATGGTCGCCACGCCGCAACAAAGCAGCAAAAATGCCCTCAGCTACTTTAACAAACGAGCTAAAATTTGGTGTGGTAGTAGCTGAAAGTCAAGGTCAAGGTTTCTTTATTGTCATTTGCATCATGTGTGGTACATGTGATGGAATGAAATTGTGTGCATGCTAATGCTAAAGCATTAACTGGCTGAGTCGTTGACAACACAAACTCTGAACGTGACATTTCACATCACATGAGTTCGCGTGGGCAGCACGGTGGCGCAACTGGTAGAGCTGCTGCCTCTCAGCGAGCAGGTCCCTGGTTCAAACCCTGGTCCAGGGGCCATCTGGGTGGAGTTTGCATGTTCTCTCCGTGCATGCGTGGGTTTTCTCCGGGTACTCCGGTTTCCTCCCACAGACCAAAAACATGCATGTTAGGCTGATTGGTAACTCTAAATTGTCCCTAGGTGTGAGTGAGAGAGTCAATGGTTGTTTGTCTCGTTTGTCTCTATGTGGCCCTGTGATGGACTTGCGACCCGTCCAGGGTGTACCCCGCCCCTCGCACAGTGATTGCTGGACATGGGCACCAGCGACCCCCGTGACCCAAAATGGAATAAACGGGTAAAGATAATGGATGGATGGATGGATGAGTTCGCGTTCTTCTGAGGTTTTACCAAAATGATTACAACACCATTATTTCTCATCATAAGATGGTCTTAGTTTAAACATCAAAGTTCATGCTCAATAATCCAGTTTAAAAAAAATCCAAGTTCAGTTGGGTCATCTGGACGGTTTCTTTTCTTTTTTTTCTTTTTTTTTTTTTGATGTTGAGACCTTCATCCAGAAACCATCCAGATGACCTGACTGAACTTTGTTGGATTTTTTTATTACTTGGATTATTGCGCATGAACTTTGATGTTTTGAACCACTTTGGCTATGGCTGATTCAGAGGAGTCGACGAGGGAGAGGATGGGCCCCAGAAACCATCTTATTACCAGCAAACTGGTTGGTCCATTATGCGAGTCTGCTGCTTGTGGGACTGAGTTTGTTTTGGCTTCTCAGACTGATTAAGTCCTTTAGATGAAAGACAAACGTCTAAAAAAAAAAAAAAAAAAACCGTCCAGATGACCTGACTGAAGAATGCTGCACCTTTTGAAATGATTTCAGATCTGGTATCTGAAGAAAAATATGCAATTATATGTTGGGCTTCGGGGGCACAGTGACTCAGTTGTTAAGAGCTGTTGCCACTCAGTGAGAAGGTTGCTGGTTCAAATCCCAGCCTTGGACCTTTCTGGGTGGAGTTTGCATGTTCTCTCTGTGCATGCGTGGGTTTTCTCCAGGTCCTCCAGTTTCCTCCCACAGACCTAAAACATGCATGTTAGGCTGACTGGTAACTCTGAATTGTCTCTAGGTGTGAGTGAGAGAATGAATGGTTGTCTTGTTTGTCTCTATGTCCCTGTGATGGACTGGAGACCAGTCCAGGGTGTCCCTGTGATGG